TGGTATATTTTAGGATGAACAACGTTTAAATAACTATAGTCAAATAAAAGTGGAGGTATGATGATGGTAATATAATAAATATTTGAGTTAATATTTGAATTAATATGAATTATATTTGATGACGGTGGAAGAGATGCACAAAAGCCTTTTGCAACCAGGTGATACACTTTCTAGAGTATGTAAAATAGGAGGATTTCTATGTTTGTTTTGAAAATAAAAAAAATATTTACCAAAAAATAAAAAAAAGGAATGTTCCCTGAGAGCTTCCAATGAGCCTGGAGAAATCCCTTCTCGGGGTTTCCAGGGGAGGGGCAGTTTACACCTGCAAGAGTAACCTTTACCCTGCTGGGTCTCTCTCTGCATAGACAAAGAAGAGGCGAGCAGATCGGAGCCACTCCTGGCAGGATTGCAGCAAGAATCCCTCCGCTGCCAGCAGATGAAAATGGCTACCATCAACCCCTCTTCCGGTCTACCACCCTGGAAGGTGGAGCTGGAGTCAGCAGGACAGATGTGGGGTCCAGGTGAGGAAAGCTTTGACTCTTGCTCAATTCCATTTGGGGTGTGGGAAGGATCTACTGGATACCCCCATTTTTGCACTCTGCCCTCCAGGCCTCTAAAGGAGGCTGAAAAAGCCCTCGAGAATACTTTGCAGATTCAAGAGCGGCCAGTCACTCCAATGTGCCCCTTCACTGTCCCTTCAAAGGCCATGGGGCTCATTTCTGTTTCTACTGGGGGGTGTCTTAGCATCCAGTTCCAAGACAGAAGTCACAGCAGACGGGCATTCCCTGGGGAGGCAGATCAGCAAAGCTAGCAGCAGCCGAGTGAAGTCCCGCACCTTGCCTAGCGTGCCAAAGCTCTTCATCCCTTCATCCGTCTCCAAATTCCCGCCTGAGATCACCGTCACTCCACCAACACCCACCCTCCTGTCCCCAAAGGGCAGCATCTCGGAAGAGACCAAGCAGAAGCTCAAGGTGCATTACGTCATTGGGGGAGGGGGTTCCCCCAATGAAAGGGTGGTGGTGCGGGAAGTGGCAGAGAACGGTCCCCTCCTTCCAAATCATGGGGTGACAACTGGTTTTCCCACCCACCCACCCCACCATACAGAAGAGCTCCCATTCCTGCTGAGTGCCTGGGGCTAATCCCACCAGGTGGGCTCTGGATGTCCTCTGTGGGTCAAAGGGCCTGTTTCTGATGATGGGAGGATTGGACTAATAACTGACCCCCTCCATTTCTTCTTCCGGAACAGTCTGCGATTCTTTCAGCCCAGTCAGCAGCCAACGTGAAGAAGGAGAGCCTCTGCCAGCCTGCCCTAGAGGTGGTGGAGACCTCCAGCCAAGAGTCTTCTCTGGAGAGCGACTCGGAAGAGGAGGAGGAGGAGGAGGAGGACAATGACTGCATGGACATCTGAAGCATCTAGGCTGCCCCTGGGGGGTGCAGGGTGTGATGGACAGAGAGAGGCCCGCCCTGCCTGCCCACTGCCCAGGGAGCCCCCGTTTGCTTCCCTTGCCTCTGTCTTTGCCACTGCTGCTTTGACCCCAGGCTAGCATTGTCCCCCAACTCTCCTTCCTTCCTTCCTCTGGGCCAGCTCTTGCAACCCTTGGCATGCTGCTCCTGCTCCTGACCCCCTGGCTGGGGGGAAGGAACCTTCAGCCATGGCTGAACAGGGCCAAGAAGCAGCTGTGCCCTTCATTCTCACCCGCTTCATTCTCACCCGCTTCTCTCGCTGTTGCCTGAAAGGAGCTCCCCAGCCGAGCTCTGCCGCTGCTGGCTGTTTGCATGAAGAGGCATCAGTCGATTGGGGCATCACTGACCGAGAAATAGAATGGTTTTCGGTACCATTTTGATAATGTCTGTTTTTTTATAGAATGACGCAAAAAGTGTACATGCTTTGTTTTTTAAGTCCCTGTGGCAAGATTGGTCGCATTTATATGGGAGACAATAAAGAAGACCAAGAATTTTTCTACTGAATGTTGTAATTTGTAGCATAACTAATGCAAATCCTGCACAGGAACCAGGATGTGTATCACTTAAGCCTATGTGGAGCTTATCAGGCTGGGTTTCAGTCTGTTGGGGCGGCCATTATATAAAGGGTGCAATGCAGAGCTTTGTATAAATACACATTTTTCTAATAAAGTCAAAGCATGTCTCCCCTGTGCCTTGATTTTATCCACAAGTTGAAATCTTGGAATCTCTGCTGTAGATAACCTTTTTCTCGTTCCACATTGATTTGGGGTCATTATCTGCTCTACAGGAGCAATTACACTGTGTTCACAATTATTAGGCAAGTTGTATTTGGGGGGGATTAATTTCATTATTGAACAACTTCAGTGCTCTTGCTCAATGCAAAATATTAATAAACCTCAGAGTATTTAAGAAAGTAAAAGTGAAGTTTTGGCTTTGGGAAAATATATGCATAATTATTGGGCAACTATTAGTGTACAGAATTATTATACAACTAAATAAAAAATGAAAATTTGCCCATCTCACTTATTTGCATCTGAAAAAGTGAGAACAACTCAAAATATGCAAATATTTCTGATATTTTTTAAAGTGACCAATGTAGCCATCCTTCCTTTCAATAACAGTCATAGGCCTTCTCAATAAGGGTAGAGATAGCATCCATGCATGGGTTGACACTGTCCGTGCTCTGATTGGACTGAGTCTGAATATTACTTAGCCAATGTACTATATAACCCACCCCTGTGAGTATTACCACCCAGTTTCTGACTCAATCCACTCTGGGACAGTCGTGTTATTCCTTGTATGCATTAGCAGTTTACTTCACCTTACTGGTTTGACAATTTACATCCTCGTTGTCAGAAGGGAGAACGATCTATTTGAAGGGTCATGAGTATTTCGAGACTGATCTGGGGGCCCATCTCCGTCTGGCCACAGGGCTCCAGCCCACAGGCCTGTGTTCTCAACACCTCTCGTGGCGATCTGCTCACTGCAGAGGAGAAAGGCAATTAGTGTCAAAAGAGTACTGTCGAACAGCCGCTTAGCAGATTGCCTGCGAGGCTTGTCTTTCACAGCCGAACAGCATTTCATACACCAGGCTTGAGACGGCAGAGTGCGCGCGTCCATCGTGCTGTTACAGAGAGACGGGCGCGCTTTAGGCAAGATGGACGGGAGTCTCCTGCCTTGGAAAGTTACAGTGAGACAGCGAGTTCTACGGACCGGGTGTGAGCAGCCCAGATGGCCAGATCGAAGCCAGGCAGCAGCAGGAAGCCTCTTCCTGTCACCGGGGCCCTACTCGCTTCCAGAAAAAGTGGGAGTGCCATTTTGGGCAGTGGGCGGAGCCGCGCATCACGGTCACCATTTTGAATCGATGCCTCTGTTAGCGGAGGCATGGCAGATGACAGCATGTCTGACCTGGGCCCAGAGACCAGTGGACCCTCTAGTCAAGCCGGCGGATTGCTTGCGGTAAGACAGAGCCCCATGTTCCCCATTGGGCAGCCTTTTTCCCTAGCATAATCGGGGAACAAGGCATCGAATAAAGGCTCCTCTTCCTCCAGCAAGGCATCAAAAAAGGCCTCTAAATCCTCATCCAAGGACAAGAGCTGAGAGGACCTGGGGTCATCCCCCAATGGTCTGAAAAGACTCCTGCCATCCCGGCCAGGCCCAGCCCACTACCACCACTGTAGCTAGAAGTGATCCACGGGCCATTTAGCCCTATGCTCCCAATTGATTAGCAATAGCAATAGCAGTAGACTTATATACCGCTTCATAGGCCTTTCAGGCCTCTCTAAGCGGTTTACAGAGAGTCAGCATATTGCCC